ATTAGCATAGTCTATGGGATGGCTAGGGCTGTACGCATTTCAATCTCATACTGCAAAATTGTGACGTAATCCGTGGAAAACGCTATGCACGAATATCTCTGAGCAGGCCTCGTTCCTATGATATATTACTACTTAGAACACCAAGACATGTAAGCAGTCGATGTGAAAGATCGTCGTCGAGGACTACGCCAAGGAGTCTATTGCTAGCCATTTCTTAAAAAATACCGCGACGGTAAAGTAAGAATTGCACAACTTTAACGAAACAAAATAGTACTCTTTGAAAGTCCGTAGATTTTCACTAAATCCATTATTTCGTGTTCACTAAAGCAGTTAATCATTTTCATATAATATATATTTGTAAAGCGCTGTTGAACCTTGGCGCTCTATAAATCATAATTATTATTGATAATTGTCATAAGCCCAGGGATTATAACCGGGATTCTGTGGTGCATAGCTTCAGTACTTTCCATATAAGATCATGTTAGTATACCAACAGTTACTGGCTTTGGCTCGTACTAATTCTATTTTACTTTATATAATAGATTTTCACGAGCGCGCGCTCTGATTGGCTGTAAAGTAATGCCGTATCAGAGTATAGAAACATAGATATAACGTCATAACCATGTTTTCTATACAAAATTAAACATAGAAATTACGTCACAGGAATTCGGCTTTAAACTTAAAAGCATTTTCACATTTTAATTATGTCTTTCCTCTAAAAAAGGAAAATATGTCGTTTTGAAGCACATTTGATTGGCACTACATTTCGACAATTAAAGCTTTCTTTCATTTGTGCTGCGACTATTACAATTACCTTATTTCGCTAAGCTAGAAGCTTTTTGCTTGACCGTGATGGTGTTAGAGAAGTCAAAATATAATTTTAAACATTTTTCATAGTCTAAAAAGAATGAACAAATTCTTGTAAGAACCTTAAGCCTACGGCTCGTGATTTTTATAACTTTTTGAGTGTTCTACAGCTCCAGTCGTGTTTTATCAAAGAACCGATCATAGCTAAGCCTGATCTATTTGTTAATGTAATAACATCCTCCTTTTTTATTGCTTTAAGGGCGACTGTCTGTAAAAATCAAAGTATTTTTAACTAACCACATAGCGTTTCGTACTTCATCATACACTACTAAAATCCAAAAGTAGAGAGAATTCGAAAATTTGAGCCTTTCCGTCGTATGCTTGATTTTAACAGATAGTCATGCTAGTAACAAATCTGCAAATAAGTGATCTGTGACTAAAATGACTTAAATATACCAATTAATCGTTACTTCAAAAAAATCTAACTTATATATCTATGTTAGTGACTACAAAATTAAGCCGGTTGAAACAACTTTTGTCCCGATCGAAATAACGGGAGAGCCGTAGTAACAAGCAGAATGAACGCTTATTTAATAATAATA